AATGGATGAAGAAGAAGGTGTGTGTGTGTGTGTGTGTGTGTGTGTGTGTGTGTGTGTGTGTGTGTGTATAAAATATGGAATATTAGTCATAAAAAAGGAGATCTTGCCATTTGTGACAACATGGATGGACCTAGAGGGTATTATGCTAAATGAAATAAATCCGACAGAGAAAGAGAAATACCATATAATTTCTTTTATATGTGGAATCTAAAAAAAAAAAAAATGAATGAACAAACAAAAAAATAGACACAAACTCGTAAATTCAGAGAACAAACTGGTGGTTGCCAGAGTGGAGAGGAGTGGTGGCAAAATAGAAAAGGGCAAAATAGAGAAAGGGAATTAAGAGGTACAAACTTCCATTTATAAAATAAATAAGTCATGGAGATGGAAGGTATAGCTTAGAGAATAAAGTCAATAATATTATAATAGTGTGGTATGCTGCCAGATGGTAGATACACTTATCATGGTGAGCATTGTGTAATGTGTAGAATTGTCAAACCACTATGTTGTACTCCTGAAGCTAATATAACATTATATGTCAACTATGCATCAATAAAAAACATTTTAAAAATAAATGATAAAAAATTTTTAAAAATGAATTGACTGTGAGGGTATATTTCTGGATTCTCAATTCTATTCTATTGATCTATATATCTATGGTTATATTATTACTCTGCTGTCTTTAGCTTTGTAGTAAGTTCTGAAATTGGGAAGCATGAATCCTTCACCTTATTCTTCTTTTTCAAGATTGTTTTGGCCATTCTAGGTCCCTTGCATTTCTGTATGAATTTTAGGTTTAGCTTGTCAGTTTCTGCCAAGAAGCCAGCTGAGAGTTTGATAGAAATTGGGTTGAAAGTGTAGAACAATTTGGGAAGGTATTGCCATCTTTTTTTTTTTTTAATGTTTATTTATTTTTGAGAGGAGGGGAGGGGAAGAGGGAGGAGGGGACAGGGGATCTGAGGCAGGCCCTGCACTGACAGCAGCCAGCCTCATGCGGAGCTCAAACTAACGAACTGTGAAATCGTGAAATCATGACCTGAGCTGAAGTTGCATGCTCAACTCACTGAGCCACCGAGACGCCCCTGGGGGAGTATTGCCATCTTAAAAATATTAAGTTTTTCAATTCATGAACACTGGAAGTCTTTCCATCTATTCAGGTCTTTCTTGATTTTTTTCAACTGAGTTTTACAGTTTTAGAGGACAGGTTTCATGCTTGTTTTGTTAAATTTATTCTTTAGTGTTTATTTTTGATGCTATTTTAAGTGGAATTTTTCTTAATATCATTTTTTGGTTCATTGCATGTGTATAGAAACAGTAAATTTTGTATATTGATCTTGTATTCTGCAACATTATTTTTTTATTAGAGAGAGAGAGAGAGCACAAGCAGGGGAGAGGGGCAGAGGGGCAGAGGGAGAGAGAGAATCTTAAGCAGGCTCTATGCTCAGAGCATAGACAGAGTCAGAGCCTGATGCAAGGCTTGATCCCATGATTCTGGGATCATGACCTGAGTTGAAATCAAGAGTCAGACGCTCAATCAACTGAGCCACCCAGGCACCCTTGCAACCTTCTTAAACTCATTTATTTGTTTTAATATTTTTTTAGTGGATTTCTTATAGGATTTTCTATATACAAGATCATGTCATCTGTGAATATTGTTTTATTTCTTCTTTTCCAATTTGCATGTCTTCCATTTTCATGTTCTATTTCATTTTCATTTTCTATTTCACTTTCTTGCCTACTTGCCCTACCTAGCCTCCCTAATCTTATCTTCCTTATTTGGTATAGTTAGTCATTCCTTACTTTTTGTAGCCCTCTCTTCGCTTGTCTTCTCAGACACCATATGTTTTGAGTTTTCCTCTTATTTCACTAGTTACTTTATTGTTTCTTTAGCTGGCTCTTTCTCTTTCCTCCAACCTCTTAACCATCTCCCACCTTTGAAATTAAGACTTATGAATCCATTTGCCTACTTGATAAACCCCACGTAGATGTCTGATATGCAGCTCAAATTTAGCCTTAGGAAGGTTAACTTAACTGCTAATCCTAAATGAAATGTTTTATGGGAAAAAAAGAGAAAGAAATATTAATGTTCACAGAATGTTTACTATTAGCACTATTCTTTATCTTGTTCACAACATATCTGAATTCTGATACTCAGGGGACATGAACCCTGGTCAGTTTGATTCCAGAGCCTGAGCTCCTTCCGAATAGCTATCACAAAGTGGATAGCCCTGTTTTTCTCTTGTTGAGATTGTTTTTTGGAGTAGTGTGTGACAGCTCAGGAATAAAGAATCCTATAGGATTTCTAGTAAATGGAATTAGAAATGCTTGTCAGCCATGCAGTGCTTTAGAGCTGCTGCTTCTCTCTTCTATATAGAGTGGATACAAAGAGATGTCTCAGTGTGCAGACAGGCTTTACCATTCCCAGGGAAAGCCTACATTGAGTTTTGGGTGAGTTTCTGGGTCACTTTCCTAGATTTCTCTAGCCTTGAGATACACTTCTCATCAGAACTATTCTCCTGTATTTGCTTAACTGGATTCTCCACCTTTAAACCTCATTCCCTCTTGTCTCTTTTCCTTTGTTCATGAACTATCAGCTCCTCTGTGTTTGTGCAAGATACCCCATTCTGACATTTGCCTTTTCAGCACCTGGCTCAGCATTTGCTCAGCATTTCTGACTCATCTGTTTTGCTTTCCTTGTTAAAATACTGGTTACAAGAACAACAACAAAATTACACTTTTTTGGTCAGTTCTTTTTAATTGAAGTATAGTTGACAAATGCCTTGTACTTTTAAAGAGTAGTGATAACTCCATTTTCTCTTTAAAATAGTTAATGAAAGTGAAATGAAAATGTCCAAGATAAGTCTGTTCATGTTGTGACTACATTTTTACAATCCATTTTGTCCAGGTTAAAAACTAGCCTGTTCTCAGGTGGCATCTGCAATCTCATTTGGTCCCCATGATGGATGTCCCGAGGCAGCTAAAAAAGATGAGAAAACTAGTGAGATCCTTTGCCCATGTTCTCATAGCCAGTTAGGGGCAGAGCCAGTTCTCTTCCCAGCTGAGCTGGTTTGTTCTGATAAAATTTGTCTTTAGAGTCTGCTGTCCACTGTAGTGTGAGGTCCCATTCCCAGGTTTTGCCTCTTGGCACTCAGAGGTGTCACCCTTCCCTGATGCCCCCTCACAGGGACTTTATTCCATAGGCTGAAACTTTCCTGATCACCTTTCAGTATTGGGGCTAACTTATCTTCTGATTTTTTGTTCCTAAGTATGAGCCAATCATGGGGAATTATGGCACCAATCCAGAATGAGAACTAGATTCAAGACTCTGCCTTCTGTGGCACCTCTCTGAGCTTCATAGACCAGATGAACTCTAATGGCATTTACAGCTCCAGTCTTGTCATGCTTTATGATTCTATTTTCTCTGATAAGCAATCCTGCACTAATGTCTGAATAGTTGGCGAAGGTTTAATATGTCACTCCAGGGATGGCAAATAGGTAGCTTATCTCCTATCGATCAATCATGGAAGACTCATTAAAAAAAATTTTTTTTAAATCTTTATTTATTTTAGAAGGGGGGGGGCAGAGTGTGAGCAGGGGAGGTACAGAGATAGAGGGAGACCCAGAATCTGAAGCAGGCTCCAGGCTCTGAGCTGTCGGCACAGAGCCCAACGGGGGGCTCGAACCCATGAGCCGTGAGATCATGACCTGAGCCGCTCAAGTGACTGAGCCACTGGGTGCCCCAATGGCAGACTCATTCTCTTCATCTCATCCCTGTTAAATGGATCCCATCATGATTCAAACTTCTCAAACCAGTATTGTGTGCTAAGTAGCCACTGCCAGTGGATCACAGTTGACATGAGTTTGTCCTGACTTCCCTCCGCATCTAGTGCTTCACTCTGAAGGAGGGATTAGTGGTGACCAGGATACCACAGACTTTAGGAAGATGGGTTCTGCGGTTTGGCTGCCTGCATTCACATCCTTTTTCCACTGCTCCCTTTTTGTGTGACTTTGAGAAAGTTACTTAACTTCTCTGGACCTCACTTTCCTTTTTTGTAATATGCAACATAACAACCATACCTCATGGGGTTTTAGACAGGATTAAATGCAATAATATGTATAAAAGAGTGCTTAGAACAGAGCCTAGCATATGTAACTCAATAAATGCTTACTATTGGAAGGCTGGTGGAGGAAAAATCCTTAGACTGACACTTTGTGGTGCCCTTTCTATCCTTCAAAGTGGTCTGATGTTCATTCTGTCTATGAGTGTGGATTGATCCCATTTCAAAGTTTATTTAGTCAGTAAAAATTTAGGGCTTTCTTTAGGCTAGGCTTGCAGCCAGGTGTTTAAGATATAATAAACAAGTTCCTTTCAGAGCTTGCAGTGTAGTGGGGATGACAAATAGTTTGTTTTGAAGCTAGTTACAGTATCCTTAATAATTGCAGTGATTGGAGCTTGCACAGGGCCTTTAGGGAACAGCCTTCTTGGTGATAATGTTAAATCTGGGTGGGAAGATTAATACTTGAGTTGTCCCGATCTGGCTGGCCTCTTGCCAGTGTTTCATAGGTATTAGGTCCTTTGGGGAATTGTTAATGCTTGTTTTCGTGGGCAGCACATCTCAGTGGCATGCTCATGCTCCTTGGCATTCACTCAGTCCCTCGACTGACTGCCCCAGGATTTTCCCATTGCTCTCTGTGCTGCTGTCCCTCTGTCTCAGTCAGAGCTGAAGGAGCTGAGGAGCAGAGATGTGAAGACAAATGAAAGAACCCTGAATTTGCAGCACCAGAGTAGCTAGGTCTCTCTGCGCGCCTTAGGAAAGCATGAATAGCCCAGCTTATCGAGTCGAGTTCATCCCCCTGCCTAACTCAGGATAGGGTAAATGTCTGCGACAGTCTTGTATGGTGGCGGTGTGGAATCTGGGTGGGAGAAAAAATATCCTTGTGTGGCTGGGGGTGGGCATTGGTGCTGTGACCCATGCTGTCCCCTCACTGGTGTTTTACAGTAAACAGCTGTTGTGTGACGTGATGATTGTGGCAGAAGATGTCGAGATAGAAGCCCACCGTGTGGTCCTGGCAGCCTGCAGCCCCTACTTCTGTGCAATGTTCACAGGTATGGCGAGGGGCTAATGATAACCCACGATTATGGGGCTGCAGCCCCAGTGAGAGAATATTTTGGGTGGTGGCCTGAGGGGAGGCAGGAGACAGAATGCTATGACACTCACTGTAAGGAGCTTCTGTGTATCAGATGCCATGTTTTGCACTATGGGGGACTTGGTGGAACCAGCCAGCATGCAGCCCCTTGTCTACTATGAGGAAAAAAGAGGTAGAACCATAGAGTTGATTAGTTCTCACACTTCAGCATGCATCATAATCATGTAGGGGAGCTTTTAGAAGTGTAGGCTCTTGGGCTTATCCCCACACCTCTGTTCTTTCATTTTGCAGATGAGAAACACTGAGGCTGACAAAAAGGGAGGGACTTGCCCAAGATCACATAGGAAATGAGTGGAGCTTGGCTTCTTGATGCCTGGCCCATTGCTGGACCAGCTTGTCCTTCCCTGGCCATTCCTACCAGGCAAGGTCTGCAAACCCTCTTGAGTCTTTACAGGAGTGTGGAAGAGATTTGGGAGAAGTGATGGCAGGGCTTGGAGGGGAGAGGAGAGTAAGATAGGAATTTTCACCATCTGGCACCTTTGCAAACTTTCTAGAGGGTCCCTGTTTCCTGTATATGCCAAATAGTCCAGTCCAGCTATTTCACATGTGAGACTGAATGCCTTGAAACCCATGGAGCTTCCTGTCTGTAGTGCCTCACAGCACCTCCCCTGCTCACTGAAGACCAGTTGTGCCTGCTGAGACCCTCAGGCTACGTCAGGTGTCCCTTCCCCACGTTCCCCAAGTACCCATTGCTGTTTGTGAGTGTGGTCACTATCACTCTTGTGTTGCTGTCTGTTTTCTGGCATCCTCAGTGCCTGTGCTGTGACGTTTTGTGTATCGGCGGCTTCTCATCCTGCAGATTACAGGCCATGTGTCTCCCCAGAGGGCCTCCTCTGACCACCTTTGCCATGGTTCCTCACTAAGTTCCCTTCTGTCTCATAACTTGAATACATAGTTTTTCCTAACGTTTATCCCTACCTGAAAATCCTGTTGTTGGTTGTTGATTTTTTTTTTTTAATCTGTCTCTCCTCACTAGACTGTAAGCTCCTTAAGGACAGGAGTCTTGTTGGACCTGTTTGCTACCATATCCTAAGCATGTGGTACACGACCAGAGTCAAATGTATTTTAAATGAATGAATGAAATGTTTCCATAGTTGATTATGAGCTTTGGGCATTCGAGGGCCATGTCTTGTCACTGCTGCATCCTCAGAGCCAACCACAGGGCATGGTATTTAGTAGGAGACAATAAATAAATGAAGCTTAAAAAGAATGAAGGTGGGCTTGCTAAGAATGGGTGAGTGCAGGCACCCTGTTTTTGCTGAGTAGGCTCTTTCCCTTCTCCTAATATAGTATGTGGCCTCTCATGGGCAAGAGTGGTTCTAGTTGGGGGTGACTTAGTGATTGTGTTTTGAGAGTTCCTCACAATGTGGACCCCCCCTTGGCTCATTGTGTGAAGGAGCTGTAACTCAGGTAAGTGGATCAAGCCACTCTTCCATCACCCTGAACCTTGGGTCAGGAATTAGCAGCCTGGAAAATGTAGTTGTGAAAACCAGTGAATTTCACTACCTGGAAATTTTGAGCTGCATGCTCTTTGAAGTAGTTTCAAACTCTAGTAGCAAGGTTTTTATGTCTTTATTTACCTCTCTCGTTCATCTGTCTATTTAAAAAAAATAATTCATTTTGTTTGCAATAGTTATTTGGTTGCAACTTCACTAAGTAGCTCTGCCATTCATTGTTTTCTTGTGTATGTGGTTTGGAAAGTCCAGTATTGAGAGAGGAAATCTGTTTGGAATTGCGATGAATTGTAGTGTTGCCTCCACTTGTTGCTAATGAACTTGCCTCTGGAGTAGTGCAAGGGCCCAAGCAAGAACAAGATGATTTTAGAAACATAAAGAATCTGAATGCTTCTGGAGCAGATGTTGGATTCTAGTCGTTAAAGGGAGGAAAAAATCAAGAAGAAACAGTCTAATATGATGCCCAGCTCAAGTCATCTGTTGAATCTGGTTACTGTCCATCCTTTCATCCTTCCAGCCAGCCAGCCAGCCAGCCAGCCATATCTGTCTGTCTTTCCACTCACCCATGTACCTCTTCAAACACTACTCACATATGTTGATTGCAGAAAAGAAATTAGAGAATGTGGACAAGCAGAAAAAAAAAAATATATGTAATACATCATCTAGATAAGATTATAGTTCATATCCTTTCAGATTTTATATTTATAAATATATACATATACGCCATAAAATTTTAACATAGGGGCACCTGGGTGGCTCAGTCAGTTGAGCATCTGACTCTTGATTTTTGGCTCAGGTCATGATCCCGGGGTTGTGGGATCGAGCCCCATATCTGGCTCTGTGCTGAACATGGTAGCTTGGTAGCTTGAGATTCTCTCTCTCTCCCTCTGCCCCTCTCCCTTGTTTGTGCTCGCTCGCTCTCTCTCAAAAAATAAAAAAATAAAAAATACCTAAAAAAATAAAAAATTTAAAAACCCACCAAAATAAAATTTTAATATAAATGAGCCATTTTGTATATACATAGTTGATATAATGTGTATACTTAAAAAAAATTACTGTTCATCTTCCTGGGATGTTCTTCCCCCTGCCTCTTTGCCTGTCTAACTCCTATTCATCTCTCATTACTGCTTAAGCAACACTTCCTCAGGTAGACTTTCCCATGATCCCCTTGGATTAGGTTAAATTCTTTTGTTATTTACTCTTGTGATACCATATGTTATGCTTGTCTTTAGTATCACTGCTTATTTCATTACTTCCTCAATATCTGATTGCTCTGGTCAGTCAGTTAAGAACTCTACCTTAATTCACTGCTATCTCCCCACTGCCTACCTGGATCTTCCATGTAGTAGGTGCTCAGTGAAAATTTGCTTAATCAAACCATTGGTCTATGGTCAGTATATTTTCACATCAGTGAAATCACATCTACGTCATTATTTCAATGGCTTCGTAAGATTCCATCATGTATGTCCAAGTCAAAAATTGATTTCCATTTTGGTTAGAAATTCTAATTCTTTCTAATATTTTGCTATTATAAGTAATACTGTCATGGGTATCTTTGCTTCTTAATATTTATTTATGTTATAATTATTTCCTTAGAATAGACCCCTAGAATAGGGGTGTGCACATGTTGAAGATTTGAGACACATGCCACAAATTCACATTTCCTAGAACAGTTGGACCAGCTTATGCTTCCATTGGCATTTTGTGAGATTTGTGTATTTTTTGAGATCCCTTGATTTGGCTTAAATCTTGGTAAGCAGGTTTAAAGAGTAACATTGTAAAATTTTGTTCTAATTATCAGATTCAGCTTCAGAATTCATAACTTAATCATGAAAAGGCCCAGCTGACTGTTTTTTCTTTCAAAAATTTAGATAATTTATTTTATTTTGTTTTTAATTTTAAATCCAAGTTAGTTAATGTATAGTGTAATAATGATTTCAGAAATAGAATTTAGTGATTCATCACTTACATATATCACCCAGTGCTCATCCCGACTGGTGTCCTCCTTAATACTCATCACCCCTTTAGCCCTTCTCCCCACCCTCCCCCTCCATCAACTCTGTTTGTTCTCTGTATTTAAGAGTCTCTTATGGTTTGCCTCCCTGTTATCTTATTTTGCCTTCCTTTCCCATATGTTCATCTGTTTTGTTTCTTAAATTCTGCATATGAGTGAAATCATATGATATTTGTCTTTCTCTGACTTATTTTGCTTAGCATAATACATTCTAGTTCCATCCATGTTATTGTAAATGGCAAGCTTTCATTCTTTCTTATTACCAGTAATATTCCATCATATATATATGCCACATCTTCTTTATCCATTCATCAATCGATGAACATTTGGGCTCTTCCCATACTTTGGCTATTGTCGATAGTGCTGCTATAAACATTGGGGCGCATGTGCCCCTATGAATCAGCAGACTATGTGTGCATGTGCCCCTATGTATCCTTTGAATAAATACCTAGTAGTGCAATTGCCGGGTCATAAGGTAGTTCTATGTTTAATTTTTTGAGGGACCTCCGTACTGCTTTCCAGAGTGGCTGCACCAGTTTGCATTCTTACCAGCAGTGCAAAAGTGTTCCCCTTTCTCCACATCCTCACCAACATCTTTTGTTGTCTGAGTTGTTCATTTTATCAGCTGACTCTTGTTAAGTCCATTTCTATCAGCATGTTTAAGGCCAAAATGAAAAAGAAATACTCGTGACGTTCTTCTGACTTGAGTGGTGTGATTACGATCTTTTTATTCGGGCTTAAAGTGTTTTTACTTTTTTGTCCTCTGAGTTCATATTGCCCAAATGTCCCAGATATCAACCCTGCTCCTTGAGCATGTTCTGCACAGAATAACTTGGGATAAATGTGACAGTGAGGTCTGAGTGCCCAGAGGAGAGTGTTGAGAGGCAGCCAGCTTGCAAGAAGATCCAGGATGGGCTGTCACTCAAACTGCTCAGCACTCCTTTAGCACAGGGATTAGAGAGGCCAGCAGTGCTATGTTCTGCCCATCTTCGTCCTGTGAATAGGGAATACTTTAGATTGCCCTGCTTCCTCCCCATCTAGCTCCTCCATCCCTAGGGAAGCACATTTTACCAAAATAGCCTAGTCAGTTTTTTTCTCTCTTTTTTTTTTGTCCTTTACTATGGGTTCTGTGTACTAGAGTATTTCCACTCCATATGGGTCCCTACGTGTCATCTGAGTACATTAAAAACAGCCCCATCTTATGGTGTTAAAGGAACTGGGTTTTAAAGAATATGTGGGCTCAGGGTATTAATGCCTCATCATCACTTGATAGAGGTGTGGGGTTGCTTGCTTTCCTGGGTTCTCTGTGGTTCTTGGGGATGTCTAGGTACAAGGTCTTAAGGTATGGCCTGAGGATTTAAAGAAATTTAAGATCTACTCTTTTAGTCCAGGTCACTTTCATCTTTCACCTAATTTCCTGCAGCAGCTTTG